CTATGTTCAGACTGCTCTGTTTAATCATGTTGCATCTGCTGTCTTCATAGTTAAAGCTGACAGGCTGTAGTTTACTTTAGGGAACAGTTAGCTACCCACAAAGAAAGTCTTGTTACAAGGTGCCATTTGGGAAGATACGATTGTAGTGATCCCTTAATACATGTGACCAGGGAAGAGTTCTTTTATGAAGGCAAGGGTGTTTTAACCTCAGAGTGACGCCTAATGAAATATACCACAACAGGTCAAAATAAGAACCATGAAGCAACCATGTAGCCCTGGTAAAACTTTTTTTTTTTGGAACGTGCCCTTAGCGGGAACCGAACCCAGGACTCTCTGGTCCACAGGCTGACACTCCAACCACTGAGCCAAACCAGCCAGGGCAGCCCTAGTAAAACTTTTGGTCAAAAAGTTATGGAAGGGTATTTCTTTTTTTTTTTTTATTGTAATGAAATTTACCATCTTAACCATTCTTTTATATGCACAGTTCAGTGGTATTAAACACATTCACATTATTGGGCAACCATCTGACCCCATGATTCTTTTCATCCTGTAAAACAGAAACTGTATACCTATTAAACAATAATTCCTCATTCACCCATTCCCCCAGCCCCTGGCAACCACCATTTAGACTGCTCTGAGTAGCTCATGTATGTAGAATCATGCAGTGTCTATCTGTGACTGGCTTCTTTCACTTAGCACAGTGTCCTCAAGGGTCACCCATGTTGTAGCATATTGCAAAATGTCCTTCCTTTTTAAGGCTGAATAGTATTCAACGCTATTTTGTTTAACATGTTAAAGATTATTTATCTCAAACCAGTGCCTAATATTACACATAATGGTAAAATATTATAGATATGTATCTAGTGTGTTCAGGTAGAAGATACGGATGCTTGCTATTTAATATTGTCTGGCAGCTCCAGCCAGTATAGTTCTATTTAAAAAAAGGGAAAAATGGTGTAACAGTTGAAAAAAGAAGATAAAGTCCCCCCCCCCTTTTTAGTGGGGGGAGGCAAGTAGTGTGGCTTTCTTTTCAGACTAAAAACCTACTTTGAAGTAAGAGTATATATTTAAAAATTCGCTGTTTACAACTCCACCTTTTCATTTGTGACCTAGATCCCATTCTTTTGCCTATTCAAGGACTTTGTTCTTGCATTTTTTCTTTTTCATCAATTAGTTTACTCTCTCTTTTGGATTCTCCCCAACGGCATATGTTATAGTATTTCCCATCTTTAAAATATTCTCCCTCTGACCTCATTGTGTGTTTTTCCAGCTACAATGCCGTTTCTCTGCTCCCTTTATAATAAAACTCTTAAGGAGAATTGTTTATAGTCCAACTCAGCTCCTTATCTGCCATTTCCCTTTCTCTTTTTATAACCTCTCTTTTCAAGATTTTTCTCCTCTCGATGTTTCACATGTTGGCAAGAGGACTCATAGTTGTGTGGGTCCCAGGCCCGTTAGGCGTGTGTGCTCGGCCCAGCCATACCTTATTCCCCTCTTCCACTTGGTCTGTCCTTCGGTTTCGCTTCACCTACTCCTCCCCAAGCCTGTTAAGGTTGCATGTGACCTTAGTTGCTCATCCACAGGTTAGTCCTCACCTTACTCAACATCTTCACGGGATTTGACACAGTTGCCTCCTCCAAAGCACTCACCTGTTTGCTGCAATACGAGAGCTCCTCGTTTTCATCCTGTGACACTCGTCACTCCTCAGTCTTCTGTATTGGTGGCCCCTGGCTCTGCCCTGGGACCCTGCTTTCCTCTATAGCCTGTCCTCTCCTTGGATGACCTCCTTCAGGCCCATGACCCCTGACAGCATCTAGGCACTGATGATCCCTGATTTGTGTCTCATCTCCCCTTTCCCCATCGAGTCTAGATTTGTAAATCCAGGTGGCTACCAGAAATGCCCACCTGCACGTGTAATCTTGATTTTTTTTCCTCTCAAACTTCCTCCGACTCCATTGCTCCTCATCTGTGTTCATAAATCCTTGACACACTTTTGCTCAACCCCCAAACCACACTACATCCTTGATCTTTAACTTGCCATCATCCCTTGACATTCAGTGTGTCAACCTACTCTATTGACTGTCTTCAAAATGTATCCTGCCCCACTGTCGCCGGCTGCACCCCAAGTCCTGCCACTGCCTGAGCTATCTTCAGGAGCCTCCCCAGTTGGTCTCTGGCCTTGCACTTGCTTTCCCCTGCAGTGTCCCTTCACCGCAGCCGAAGTGACCTTTTGGGGGGAGGGGAGGAGTAGGGGGAAAAGGTAAGGAGAGTATTTCATACTCTCAATAATACAGATAAATTAAAAAATAAAATGTAAATCATATCATACTGCTCCCTGGCTAACCTCAACCTATTATACTCAGGATAAAATTTCATCCATTTTACTAGTCTACAGGGCCTTAAAGATCTGATCTGGTCCATGATTGCCCTTTTGACCTCTCCTCCCTGACTGTCTGGCTCCATCCACTCCCCGCTTCCCCAGTCAGCCTCCTGGCCTCCGCACAGATGACTTTCCTGATGGGCACATGGCTCTCTCATTGTTGGGGTCTTGTGCTCAAGTGTCATTTCATCAAAGACGCCTCCCCAGATAACTCTCTCAAATACGTACCTCTCCACCTAGCCTGCTTTGTTCTTACCCGCCTTCGTTTAACGTCCATCATCTACAGGTGTCTGAGATTATTTCCTGTTCTGTCTCCCCCACTACAACAGAGGCTCTGCAAAGGCGGTGGCTTCCTCTGCCTTGTTTTTTGTTGTATCTCCTTGTACTTAGAACAGGCTGGCACGTAGGAGGTGCTCAGTTACTATCTGTTGAATGAATTGCAGCGTTCACCAGTTACAAACTATAGTGGGTAAAAACAGTCTATTTATAAGTGAGATTGTATATATATACCCAAAAAATGTATACATGGTGTCTGTAGAGTCCATCACATTTTGAAAGTAAAATGTATTTTAATAACACTGGCTTTATAATTATTCAACATTTTGTATACATTTTTGGGAATATATATATATATATTTGACTAATTATCAATAAGTAAAAAAATAAGCAACAAAAATGAGGTATCTTTTTTTTCCTATTCACTTGGAAAAACTAATGTTGGTGACAGTGTTGGTGAGGGTGCTGGGAAATGGGCACTCTCCTTTGCCACGGGTGGAAATATAAAATTGCCTGAGCTTTCCTAAGTGGTGAGTCGTGGGTGATTTTTATCTCAGTTTTTGCGATGAGCTACGTTTTCCATTTTTTCCAGTAATTCTTTTTTCCTCCTAATAATTACTTTTTAAGGCAGAAAAATCCAATCATCTTAATCTTCCTTTTTTCCCCTTTAAAATAAAAACTTAACCAGACTGGATCCTTGCACCAGCCAGTTTGTGACGCTGATGCCGGCAGCCGATGGTCTTGTGCTCTGGAGCCTCTTCTCTTAAGAATGTTTAATCTGGATCCCGTGCCAGGCTCTGGGCTGACACGGGTCACTGGGAACTGTGTGCAGAATCACTCTTGTTCTGCGGTCCCAGGCCGGCTCAGGGAGCCCATCGGAAACATGGGCTGAGAAAAACATGCAGCTTGGAGGCAGGGCCACCCGGTTCGAGGTGGGGGCCCACAACCCTTCCTGCCAAGACCCAGGTCTCCACAGACAGGGAAACCTAACATTTCTTGGCAGATACGCTGCCCAATTCCCTTGCTGCCTGGGATTGAATCAGAAACAATGATAATCACAGCCACACATGCCTTTCTCTCTGCTGTACGCAGCTGGACTTCCGATGCCTGTTTCCTTAGACATGTCTGTGCCCCGTTCTGCCCACGCCCCGGTGGCTGCGATCCCTCTGGGTCCCAGGCCCTCGGAGGGGAGGCTCGCAGCTGGATCACCGATGGGCCATTCTTCAGCATCCCCTTATTTCCTTCTTTCCTGGAAGTGCCTTGGTAGCTCGACATTTTGTTTAATTGTGTCACTTTCTGGGCTTAGCAGTGAAGTTCCCGAGCACCCAGTGGCTCACCTGGACGGTGTTCACCCAGACGGTGAGAGCAAAGCCTGCACATGCTCAGCTCCTGTCCTGGGCTGTTTCACTCACATTTCCTCAGCCTCGGCCCACAGAGATCCTGGCCCTCTGACAGAGAGTGCAGTCAGCCTCGAGAATCTGCCAACAGGTTGTGGGTTGTTCTGAGTGGCCCTGGGAGCTGAGGGTTGGGGCTGGCTCAGGCTGTCGCTTCCCTGATGTTTGCTGGCTGAATGGTACATGCTCGTAATGACTGCCAAGGACCTGGTGACGCGGTGAGGGGGCGGATTTTAACTACTTGTCTTCTGTTCCCTTGTCCCTTCTTCCTTGGAGCCCAGGGGATACAGCAGATCAGGGGAGCTCCTGCCTGCTGATGGGTGGAGAGGCACCAGTAAAAGGCCTCCCTTTTTTTACCAGTCAGTGTGGCTCAGTGGATTGAGCATCATCCCGTGGACTGAGAGGTCTCAGTTCGATTCCGTCAGGGCACATGCCCGGGTTGCGGGGTTGATCCCCAGTGCGAGGCATGCAGGAGGCAGCCGATCGATGTTTCTCTCACATCGGTGTTTCTATCTCTTTCTCCCTATTCTCTCTTTTAAAAAATCAATAAAAGCATATTTTTAAAAAGCCTCTTTTTGCCTTACCCACCTAGTCTGATTGTGTTCAAAAGGTGCATATCCGTGTTCATCTTGATGCTTGTTAGAGGGAGTACCTGGGGGAGAGGTAGGAGAGAAGAGTTCTCCTAGAACAAGTGTCATCCACCCCTTGTCAGCCTCTGCCATGGCTTGAGCCTGTTTGGAACTCAGAATCGGGGTCCCTGCACTCTCTCAGACTGCAGGGGTGGGGGCTGCAGCTTCACCTGTCCGGTTTGCCCAGCCAGCCCTGCTTTCCATCACTTACTCATTGATCTGCACTTGAGTATGTTCTAGGGTACCCACCCCTCAGTCCTGAGGGGTTCAACTCTCCAATTAATCTAACTTAACCACCTTCTTTAAATGTGCTTCTTACAGCTTAAACTTTGGAACAAATACCGAATTTCCAACATTCCATCGCTAATATTCCTAGACGCCACCACTGGGAAGGTCGTGTGCAGGAATGGGCTGCTGGTGATCCGTGATGACCCAGAAGGTGAGACCTTGGCATGTCTGTCCTGTACTCTCCCTAGTCCCTCTGCCCCACCCCCTCTTCATTGCTGGAGGCTGTGCAATGACATACAGTTAACCCTTGAACAACATGGGGGTTAGGAGCACCGACCCCCGAGTAGTTGAAAATCCATATATAACTTTGACTCCCCCAAACTTAACTACTCCAGCCTGCTGTTGACTGAGAGCCTTACCGATAACATAAACAATCAAGTAACACGTATTTTGTATGTTCTATTATGTGTTACGTACTGTATTCTTACAGTGAAATAAGCTAGAGAAAAGAAAATGATACTAAGAAAATCATAAGGGACAGAAATACATTTACAGTACTGTGAGTTATTATCGATACTATAAGTTTACATCATTTGTTTTAGGCTATGCAGTTTATTTGTGAGTTTTTCCAAATTGCTGGTTAAAAAAAAAATCTATGCATAATGGACTCAGGCAGTTCACCCATGTTGTTCAAGGGTCAACTGTATATGTAAGTGGGTTTATTTAGCTAAAGGATATTGTCTTGATGAAATTATAGTATTCTCCTGGTCATGGTTAAGATTTTTAAAGGGATCAGAATGTCCCTCCTGGGAGCTTTAATTCATGGGCCGAAGGAGATGGAATCTGAGGAAGGATGTGTAGCTTTGAGGGCTGAGGAGGCTGTTGAGAAGCAGCTAGAGCTCAGATACTGACTGCTAGTTCTGTTCCCATAGCAACGTCTCAGGCTCTGTTCTCCTGGTCTCACTGGTGAGTGCACCTCGTTTCTTGGTGCTGCCCAAGTCCTGCAGGCCTTGGTCTTGCTGGCCGGCTGGGTGGCCATGCGTCAGGCAGGCTGCTCTGACCACCCTGCTTGGTGGCTATCCGGTGTCTGTTTCTCACCCCCTTGCATTAGAGTCATAAAAGAATCATAAGATCTTCCTCCCTAACTTACTGATCCAACTCGAGGATTCAAGCCTGGTCACACATTTTCTCAGTTAAAATTTCCGCTGCTTCAAAGAATTGCCCTCAATAAAAACCAGGGCATGATAGAACCAAGTTTTTACCTTCTCATATTTAAACACACTCACACACTCACACACTCACACACACACACACACACACACCTCTGAAGATTGTTAAAATGAAGATTTCCCCCCTCCCTCCAAGATTTTTGGATCCACTTGTTCAGGGTGGGCTTGGCCACCTGCATTTCCAGCCAGTCTGCTTCCCCTGCCCACCCTCCCCTTACCCCGGGCGATTTTGAGGCAGTGGTCCCTGGACCGCCCAGTGAGAAAACACTGTGTCTGTTGAGCTGGGAGCATATTATTTGCTCTTCCTGCCTGGGGCTTAAGTGTCATCAGAATGCAGACCATCTGGGTTGAGTGGGTTTTACATTTTCCTCTCCCTAGACTTAAATTCTTATCTCACTTGGTTCCCTGGACCCTAACCCAGACTATCTGAACCAGAAATGATGGGGGTGGGGCCCAGGAGAATCATATTTTTAAATTCCCCAGCAAATTCTGAAAAGCAGTCAGGGTTGAGAGACACTGAGATTCCAGGCTTGGAACTGAAGAAGAAACTCCTGGTTAATACCTGAGGCCGTGCTTCCCCAGCCAGGCCCACCAGTTACCTGGGGAGTCTGTTTCGCTGTTTGTGGACATCCAGCTTCTGCCCTGGATCCTGGGACTTGGGGTATGACCTGGGCTTTTGTATTCTTCAGAAACCCCCAGATGGGCCCCATGGTCATGTAAGTTTGGGAGCCATTGCCTTGAGGGTAGGTAGGGCTCTGTCATGGACGAGCCCTGCTTCTATTCCTGTGTGTTCAGCTGCGGATCCTATGGGTGTGTTAACAAATACTCTGTGATGATACAGTTGTCATGCTCCGCAGTCCTGAGGCTGCTTGGGTCAGAGGCCACACTGAAGAGTCTTAACCTTCTCGCCATCTGTTGCCTGTTTCAGGTTTGGAATTCCCTTGGGGACCTAAACCCTTCAGGGAAGTCATTGCAGGGCCCTTGCTTAGAAATAATGGGCAGTCCCTGGAGAGCAGCAGCCTGGAGGGGTCTCACGTGGGAGTCTATTTCTCCGCACACTGGGTGAGTGTTTGGTCCCTCCTTAGCCCAGACAGAAGGAAGCGGCGAGAGCACCACGACCAGCTGTGCTGGGCTCCTGGGGGTGTGACTGCCCGGGTGGAATTTCCCGGCGTTCTTCCCTTCTCTTGTGCCCGTGTGTTGTTGGCATGCCGTAAGCGCTTATTATTACGAATGATAATAGCAGCAAGAAGATGACTTCTTTTTGACTGGTCTGAAAGGATAGCTTTCTCAACTCATTCTGATGAGGCTTCTAATGGTCCCTGAAGGGGTTGTTTAACCACTGCCTGCTGGCAGGCTGTGAGGAGTGGGGAGGAGCCTGCGCTGGGTGCTCCCATTACAAGAGGCATGTTTGTTTCTGCCTTTTCTATGAACCAGGTTTTGCCAACCCTTCTCCTTGGGTCTTGTTTGCCTGGCCTCTGATGGCAAGTGGCTGGAAAGGGGACGTTGAAGGTGCAAAGTCACGCTGCAGGATCCCACTCTTGTCTTTCAGTGTCCCCCGTGCCGAAGCCTCACCCGGGTCCTGGTGGAATCCTACCGGAAGATCAAGGAGGCAGGCCAGAAATTTGAGATCATCTTTGTTAGTGCAGACAGGTAACGAGCGCCGGGGAAGGCGGCTGCGCAGCTCCCGTGTCCGCAGGTGGTTCACGCTGTTCTCTCGCTGCACGCGGCTCACTTCCGTGGTGTAGGGCTTGGAGACTGGGATTGGGACGTCTCTGGGATTATTGGCAGAGGGACGGATGCATTTCACATTTCCTTGGGAACTGTCTGAAGAGAAGCCGAGAAAGACTTGTTCTTGCTGTAAATAGGGAGGTGTGTCCCAATTCAGGCCTGGGTCGTTTGAGATTAGGGTGCGCTTTTCTGATTTGTTCAGCTTTGGATTGTGGAGAAAGGCTGCGGAGGGGTAAGGATGGGAACAAAGGAGCAGAGACTGATGGACGGTGATGCCTGTCTCAGCTGGCTGTGCAGTCCTTTTCTTGGCTCTGGCCACGTGCTTTGTCTGCAGGCTATCCTAAAAACCAGAACGGCGGGCCTTTTTCCTGGGGTACGTTGGGTCCTCTTAGCCTCGATTTCCTCCGCTTCTTGCCCTCTCACTGGCTTTCCTCATCAGTGACCTTCCTACATCACAGAACTCCTGCCCCAATTCTGACTGGGCCACCAGGTGCTCTGCCTTGTGATTTCCTGTCCCAAAGGCTCTCTGAGACGCCCACACACTAGAGCATGCCGTGCGCTGTGGTGGCCCCGCCGTCTGTGCTACTATTTCACGCCTGGTTCAGTGGCCTGTGGGCCCACCCCACTGCGCCATGGCTCCTAACTCAGGGCCTCTGAGTGGGGCAGGTTTGAAGTCATGCCAAGTGGAGTAGTCACTTGTTTAAAGCTTGAAAAAAAATCAACTTTATTGCAGTTTAATTTACATATAATGAAATGCATACATTTTAGGTATACAGTTCAATGCATTTTGACAAATGTATGTACCCATGTAAGCACCACAATTAAGATAGAGAACATTGCCCTGGCCGGTTTGGCTCAGCGGTTGGAGCGTCGGCCTGCGGTACAGAGAGACCCAGGTTCGGTTCCCGCTAAGGGCACGTACCTCGGTTGCAGTTTGTCCCCGGCCCTGGTTGGTCGTGTGGGTGGCAGCCACTCGATGTGTCCCTTCACATTGATGTTTCTCTCTCTCTCTCTTCCTCTCTCTCCCTCCCGCTCTATCTGAACAAAAAATGGAAAAATGTCCTCAGGTGAGGATTAAAAAAAAAAAGATAGAGAACATTTCCATCACTCAGAGGATTCCCTCATGCCTCTCCTCGGTCAGTTCTCACCCCCCAAGCCCAGTTTCAAGGAACCCTGGATCTTCTTTCTATTACTTGATTAGATTTGTCTTTCTAAAATGTATTATTTGTGGAATCATAGTGTTTACAATTGGACAGTGTTTACGATTGGTTAAAAAGTGTGGTCCTGCCCTGGCCAGTTTGGCTCAGTGGTTAGAGCGTCGGCCTGCGGTCCGGAGAGACCCGGGTTCGGTTCCCGCTAAGGGCATGTACTTCGGTTGCAGTTTGTCCCCGGCCCTGGTTGGTCGTGCGGGTGGCAGCCACTCGATATGTCCCTTCACGTCGATGTTTCTCTCTCTCTCTCCCTTCCTCTCTCTCCCTCCCACTCTATCTGTACAAAAAATGGAAAAATATCCTCAGGTGAGGATAAAAAAAAAAAAAAAAAGTGTGGTCCTGCACACACCTCTATTACATATACACAACAGAAGTATCACAAGGAATGTGGTGTCTGAACATCTAGGCTTCTTATAAAAGTAAGGCCCTGGCCGGTTTGGCTCAGTGGTAGAGCATCAGCCCTGGGACCGAAGGGTCTCGCGTTCAGTTCCCAGTCAAGGGCCTGTACCTGGGTCACAGGTTTGATCCTCAGCCCTGTCTGGGGTCGTGTGGGAGGCAACCAGTGTGTCTCTCACACATCGATGTTTCTCTCTCTCTCCTTCCCTCCCTTCTACTCTATCTTAAAAATCAGTGGAAAAAGTATCCTCGGGTGAGGATTAACAACAACAAAAAAGTAAGACCGGTCTGTGTTGGAAATGGAAAGTCGGGCGTGAGTTAAACTAGTAGGGTGCAGGGGAGTGAGGGCTCTGGCCGGGGCCTGGCCCTGTAGTTCGGGACCACGTGCTGTTGGAGCCCTCTGCGTCCCGGTGTGTGCCAGAGCGTGGAGCGGCCCTCTGCGTCTGAACATGATGACCTGCGGAGCCCTGGGCACTGCGTGGGGGGCGGGGGGGCCAGCAGTCGTGCATTTGGGGGTAACAGAGCCTTGTTCCCATGTGTGTCTCTGTAGGTCAGAGGACTCCTTCAAACAGTACTTCAGCGAGATGCCCTGGCTCGCTGTCCCCTACACCGACGAGGCCCGGCGGTCGCGCCTCAACCGGCTGTACGGAATCCAAGGTAGGCGTTCGGGACTCCAGGGGCTTCTTGGAAACCTGCTCGCCAGGGTTCACCACGCCTTTGGCTTTCCTTTCAGAGGGAAAAGAACTTCTGTATTTCTGTGAATGTTCACTTGATTAACCATCGTCAAAAGGACGTGGTGAATTTGACGTTGTGTAGGTTATACCTCTTTGAAGCTGTTTTTAAAGCAAAGTACTTGTCTGGGTGAGAGAGCTACTTCTCACCCCCTGGGCCTAGTGGGTTCTGACGTGGCCAGCCCACAAAGTGCACGCTCCCCAGTGACTTGGCCAAAACCCTGTCCCACAGGTTTTACTGTCAACCAGGTCTTTGGTTCCGTCACTCAAGCTTTAAGCCTCAGTGTCCTCATCTGCGAAACGGGCAGATGTCCTCATCTGCGAAATCTCTACCATAAGACGTGCTGGGAGCATTACTAGGATAATGTTATAAAGCACTTCTCATGATTCCTGGAGAGCAAGGGTGAGGGCCGACTGCGGGTTACCCTTTAGGTGAGACATCTGGTTTCCTGAGAGTGTTGCAAACTAGGACAGAGTCCTGATCATATTTTTCATAAACAATGACTATCAGTGAGGCAAACTGTGTTTTTGCTCTTTACTATGTGAACACCTCCTTCCAGCCTCCACCCAGCCAGATGTTTTCTTGGCAAAGCACTTAACTGGCCTGGTAAGAGCCAAACTCATTCCCTGTGTATCAGCAGCACCAGACCCTGCTCAGCCTGACAGATACAACCAATATCTGTGTTCTCAGTGCTCTTTGTGTTATGGGGAATGGAATAAAAGAGAGAGACAAATTAAGATTTACTCACGAATTGCACAGCTGCTGGAGGAACTGGTCAGAGTCTTTAAACTTTTTCTTCACCATTTACAGTAAGCATATATGGCTTTGTTTGGAGCTAAAATTTTCAAAAAATTTAATTTTAAATCAGTGCTCCTCAATTTCAGATGTGACTAAGAATCGCCTGGGGGTCTTGTGAACGTGCAGATTCTGATTCGGTGGGTCTGGGTGGCCCACATTTCCAGCACCCCCCAGGTGCTGCTGAGGCTCCTGGTCCAGGGGCCACACCATGGGTATTAATAGTCTGGGTCTGTTCATTTTTTTAAATCCTCACCCAAGGATATACTTATTAATTTTAGAGAGAGGGGCAGGGAGAGAGAGAGAGAGAAACATCGACCGGTTGCCCTCCACACGTGCCCCGACCAAGGATGGAACCCACAACCTTGGCATATGTCCTGACCGGGAATCGAACTCACAGCCTTTCGGTGCACTGGATGATGCTTTAACCAACGAACCACCTGGCCGGTGCTAGGTCTCTTAATTTTTTGAGGATATTGGCGCTCATGCCTCCTATTAATAAAAGAGATGAAAGCAGTTCCCTTTCCAAAAAGAAGTCGAGTGACATGACTTTGTTTACTGGCCTAGAAGGAAAGGCACCAAGTTGGGTGACTTAAAGGAGACGTCACAGGCTCATTTCCTTCCAGCACTCCGCTTGCAGAGAGACTTAAAGCTTGTGTGCTTTGGGGTGAGAGCAGAGGGTTGAATTGCTACTTCGTGGGGATAAGAAAAATGTCATCTCCATTCATTCATTCATTCAACAAATATTTGCTGAGTGACCTTGAGCAATTTAACTTCTCTTTCATCAGTAAAATCGGAAAGATTCAGTGTTGGGCACAGAGTAGGCATTCATTAAGTGTTCAGCTGACTAGCTGAGGAAGAAAAAGGAGAAGATTAGATTTTACAGCCTAAAAAAGATCAACATTTGGACGTCAAAAAGCTTAAACAAAGGTAAGCAGCAATATTAATAATATGATGGCAAAGAATCAATATCCTTCATAGAAAAAGTCTTATTTCCAGGTACTAGTCCAAAAGAGAGAGAAAAGACAATTTAAACAACATACAAAGTAGGAATTTTGCTCTGTGTATAGTATCAGAATGGATATGAAAAGCATCCAGCACAATTTACTTTCATGAATTACAGACGAAAACACTGCATTTGTATCTATCACATTTGCAAAGAACTCCCCCCCCAACAAAAAAATAGTAATAACCTCCAGTGTAGGGAAGAGAGCAGACTGCTAGTAGGAATGTAAATCGGACAACCCCATTGGCCATATACATCAGAGCCTTTAAAAAAACTATAAAACTTTTCATTTAAAAATCTCACATCCAGGAATTGAAGCTCAGGAAGTTATCCTAGAGCACCCATCATAGGCTCAGCTTCTCTTGAACAGGTGGTAGAGTTCTGGTTTGTGGGTATTTCTTTCATATTTGCGTACTTGGAATTTCATCACAGACCACAATTCTTTCTTTGCTTTAGTCCCTAGAAAACCCGGAGCTGAATTTGTAACTACTTTAGCGATTTAGCCAAACTGACCTTTTCTGTGCATGCATGCCCTTGACCCTGGCTTCATTTTCTCTTCCTTTCTTGTTTTCCCTTCAGGGATATGTTTTCATCTGTTTTTATTAGATTGTAGCATGTACTTTTTAAGCGCCTCAAATCCTTTTTGGAAAAAAGATGGAGTAGATTTAAATGCATAGGATTCCATCTGTCATCCTCCAACCAGCCACCAGAACTGAGCTCAGTGGAAGTAAGAAACCAGAAGAGTGGCCGGCCCAGCGCCGCCCTTGAGTGGACAAGATGAGACTTTCATCAGGAAATTGCTACAGAGCAGAGTACAATGATGTGAAAAGTGTTGATCAGATAAGTGCCACTTTGTGTGGCGGCTTGGAAGAGCGACACTTGTCCCAGAGCGTGGAGCCAGGTGCTGGCCTCACTCAGCCGCTCTGCTCGGGCAGGAGGCTCCACATTCCCGAACGTGTGTCGTCCATGGGGCAGAACCCCTTCCTCTTCACAGGAGGTAGTTGAGTTGCCCTCTTCTGGATGTGGGGTCCAGCATGTCACAGGCATTCCTGGTGCTCAGTACTAAGGCTGTGGGGTCACCCGAAACTAATAAATTACCAAAGGACAGTCTATAGATAATGTTCAGCTAGTTTGAGGTTGGCAGGCTATGCCCTCCTTGTGTTCTGTGAGATGCTCTGAGGACCCTTTGGGGTGGGTGGTGGGGGCGCATAGGCACAGAACGGCATTCCCACACGAGAGATCAAGAAATCACAAGTTGTAGACACACCACTGAGGTTGGAGGGTGCCCTTCTGTGGAACATTGACAGGGCCCCCAAAATTAAATCGATTATCTTCTGTCTGCCTTCAGAAAGCAGAGAAGGGAACTCTCCGTTTGGATTCTCCAGTTGTCAGCACATAAATATTGTAGAGGGAGGAGCCGTGGTTGTTAGGTGTGGCTGAGACGGCCAGCAAGTGGGTGACCACGACTGAGGAGGAAGAGAACGGAGCTTTCAGAGACGCATCCATTTGACACAATCTCTCTCTCTCTTTTTTTTTTATCCTCACCCGAGGACATTTTTTGATATTTTGTTCAAATAGAGTGGGAGGGAGAGAGAGAGAGACAAAGATCGACATAAAAGGGACACATTGAGTGGTTGCCACCCACACGACCCAACCAGGGCTGGGGACAAACTGCAAACAAGGTACATGCCCTTAGCAGGAACCGAACCTGGGTCTCCGGACCACAGGCTGACGCTCTAACCGCTGAGCAAAACCGGCCAGGGCAGCACAATCTCTTAAGGCCCCGGTGGTGTGGGGATGAGAAGTCCATATGTGGTTGCTTACTTCAAGGAGTCCCTGTTTGAAGATCAGAAAGCTGATCTGGAGAGGCTCTGTGCCCAGGCAAGCGGTGGGCAGCCAGCCATGCCACCGTGAAAGAATGTGAGATTCCCGAGGAACCCAGTTCCAGCCAGAGAGCCTGCACTGCAGCCCAGCCCTGCCCCTGGCGCGTCCCACTGCCCCTGGTCTGCTGGCTGCATGGCGTGCCCTCCCCTGCCATCTGGTCTAGTGTCTCTTCAGCTTGGACCTGTCTGCTTTCCCAGCTCCCCACCTCCTGCTTCCTCGCTCCCGGAGTTATAGTCTTTGGCACAGCGTTTTGTGCCAACTGCTCCTTAGTCACTGATGCCCTGGGCTAAGCCTCAGGACTCATTCCTGCCAGCAGCCTGTCAGGCCTGGCCTACTGACCTTGATCTGTCTGCCTCTGGCCCTGTCAAACCAGAGACGCACTAACGCACAGTGAAGTATGAATATAGAAGAGCAACACAACCTTCTTATCATGGAGGGCCATATGATGGAGTAATCTGAGTTCAGAGGAGATCTGCTTGAAGCAGCTGAACCAGGAAGGCTTCCTGGAGGAGGTCGCTATGGAGCAGGATCTTACAGAATGTATGGGGCTTATAATAAATTTTTTTTAAATTTCTTTTTCTTTATTGATTTTAGAGAGAGAGGAAGGAAAGGGAGAGAGAGATAGAAACATCGATGAGAGAGAACATTGATTGTCCGCCTCCTGCATGCCCCTCACTGGGGATCAGGCCCACAACCTGGGGCATGTGCCCTGACCAGGAATTAAACTGGTGGCTTCTTGGTACATGGGTTGACACTCAACCACTGAGCCACACCGGCCGGGCAGAATGTATGGGGTTTAAATAAGAGGTTTGGGACATTTCAGGGCAAAGGCCAGAGTAGGTTGCCCATGGTGTACTGCAGGGAGAATGAGCAATAGGCTGATGATGCCATATTGTAGAGACCTTTGAATGCCATGCTGAGGTCCTTGAACTTGACCCTTTGGACTTTTGGAGCCGTTTGGAAATTTTGATTAAGGGGAGATCAGTGCATTAGTTAGACATTTAAGTTAGACTAGAAGAAAATCCCAGAGGCTGGTTGTCCACTGATATTTCTTTTCACTTTATTTTAATTGAGATAAAATTGGTATATAACATGATAATAGTTTCAGGTGTATAACATAATAATTCGATATTTGTATACAGTACAAAGTGATCACCACGATAAGTCTCGTTCCCATCCACCACCATACAGTTGACCCCCTTTTTCCATTTTGCCTACCCCCAACCCCCTTCCCTACTGA